GAAAGTCACCAGAGTCTTCAGGACTTCGTTCAATAGAACCTTGTCTTCAACACTTAGTCTTTAGAAGATAATGACTTCAGAAGTTAGAAAGCCTTCAGAAGTAAAGTATCAGAGTCACGATCATAGGCAGAAACCAAGAGAGTATTGCAGCAACAACATATTGTCTTCTTAGAATCTTTCTGAGTGAGAGTAGATCAGAAGCAGACTTGCTTCTTATAGTGCAGAAGCGACTTTGGTTAGATTAGAGTAACGTTGAATATGGTCTCTATCAGAGTCAAAACCTATTTTTTAATACTTCAAAAAAAATAACAACAAAGACTAACTGTCTATTCTTAAAAATTCTGACTTAACTGGTCCCTTAAGGAATTAAAAACAACAGTTTGAACAAGGATGTCTACAATGAAATTGCTTCTACATAAGCATATATAAACACTATTAATAGTTCAAATGACTACAGACACTATTACAGTATGAGCAATGTTCTTTCTTTGTATTATGGCGTTTCAATACTGAATTTAGTTCTTCATAGATCGTTTTCAATCAAAGTGTAACCTCTGTATTAATCATTGTGAACCCTCTTAATTTCTTCAAGTAATTAAGTCCTTATATAGCCAGAAAAAGATCCGTTGAAAGGCAGATTAGGAATACCCTTTAGATAGCTGGCGACTTGAAATAATTTCGTTACGCAGGGATGAAAATCATGCACAAAAGTTGTCCTTTGTACCACCAAATCAGGGTAGTGGAGTGGTAGTGGAATGAAACATTCAAATGTACTATGTACTATTTCCCCTCGTAAACGATTGAGCTTATCTTCTTTACATCATAGGCTTCTGAATAGAGATGATTGAAGCATGAGTAGAAGAGTTGATCACTAGACCTTCAGAGTCTTAAGTCTTCAGAGTCTTCAGAACTTGTTCACCAGAACCTTGTCTTCAGAAGTTTAAGCACTCAATCTTTAGAACCCTTGGTCATTAGTAACTTAAGTCTTCAAAGTCTTCAGAATGTTGATCTGCAGAACTTTGTCTTCAGAGTCTTCAGCACTTATTCTTCAGAAACTCAAGTCACCAGACTCTTCAAAACTTCGTTCAACAGAACCTTGTCTTCAGCACTTAGCCTTTAGAAGATAATGACTTCAGAAGTTAGAAAGCCTTCAGAAGTAAAGTATCAGAGTCATGATCATAGGCAGAAACCAAGAGAGCATTGCAACAACAACATATTATCTTCTTAAAATCTTTCTGATTGAGAGTAGACTAGAAACAAACTTGCTTCTTATAGTGCATAAGCGACTTTGGTTAGATCAGAGTAACATTGAATATGGTCTCTATCATAGTCAAAACCTGTTTATTAATACTTCAAAAAAATAAAAGTTAGAGTACCAAATTATTCTCACACAAATACTACTTTGTCATTATCAAAACTTAGAGATATCTTGCAGAACCAAATCTTGTTTTAACATTAAGTGGTGAAGAAGGAGTGAGAATGGAGTTTTCATGCCCTCACTCTGAGTATTTGGACACAAGACGCTTGGTTTGGTAGTTTGAAATATTCATATCTACCCATAGTCTTTAGTGCAATTGAAATAAAAAACAATCTCTTTTCAAAACCTAAAGTCAACTCAAGTCATCAAACTCTCTTTTTACGCCTTATGGCATCACTTTCCAAACATTTTCAGAAACGACAAGTGACTTTTGTTTTACCACAATACAAATAACGCTTAAGCCTTCCATGCGTGGGCATACAAGCTACGTTTAACAGCTAGAATGTGATTCAAATGCATCCATTCTACCGTAAATAAGCAATCACTTAGTATCTCATGCGCGAGCATACAAGCAACGCTTAACTGCTAGAACGCGAACATCAATATTTTCCACTAAAAACAACCAACGAATTCGAATTTCCCCAAACTATGAAGCTTTGATTTCCCCATTGCACCATGAGGATATGTAGGCACGGGATTTGAGATCCTGGCGAGCAACCTTTTTCTTTTTTCCTCCTTAGTTCTCCGAACTACGGAGCTCTAATTTCCTCATTGCACCATGAGGATATATAGGCACAAGGTTGCGAGATCGTGGTGAGCAACCATTTTCTGTTTTTCTCCTTAGTTCCCTGAACTATAGAGCTCTGATTTCTTTATCGCACTATGAGGATACGTAGGCACGAGATCACAAGATCTTAGCGAGCACCCTAATAAAAAACCATCTATTTTCCCCGTTAGCAAGTAACCTTTAGATAACAACACCCATTCGCGCTTAGACGATCTAGATAGTTCTCATTGAGTACAATGAATGTGAGGGGTGCTAATACCTCCCCCTCGCATAACTGACTTCTGAACTCGAATATTGGTTGTAAGACCATATTTTTCACCTTTAAGGGGCTTTATCGTTATTTTCCCTTTCTTTGGAATAAATAAAATTTGGTGGCGACTTTGTGTATTTTTTGCGTAGCGGCAGGAAGACATTGATTACTTTGATACATTCTCACCTGTTGTAAAACTTACTACTATTAGAGTTCTAGTATCACTTGTAGCCATTAAGGGATGGAATTTGGAACAGTTGGATGTTAGTTATACGTTCTTACATGGGGACTTACATGAAGAAGTTTATATGACCATTCCACCTGACCTATCTTGCTTTCATCCATCCAAAGTATGCAGACTGCAGAAGTCCTTGTATGGCTTAAAACAAGCTAGTAGACAATGGTACTCGAAGTTAGCTGCTTTCTTAATATCTCTTGGTTATCATCAATCACAGGCTGATTATTCTTTGTATGTTAAAAATGATTCCCAATATTTCACTACCCTATTAGTCTAAGTCGATGACATTGTGTTAGTAGACAATTCTCCAAATGAGATTCAAATTGTCAAACACCTCTTCAATCAACAATTTAAGATAAAAGATCTTGTTCAGTTTAGGTACCTTTTAGGCTTTGAGATTGCAAGATCCAAAGAAGGCATATATTTAAATCAAAGGAAATATACTCTTGAGATTTTGCAGACGATTGCCTTATTGGTATAGGGCCTTAGCATCCATTGAGGCTGAGGCTGAGTATAGGGCCTTAGCGTCCATCACATGTAACATCCAATGGTTGCAATAATTGTTTCATGACATCCTCATTGAATTTCTTCAGTCTGCTTCTGTATTTTGTGACAATAAGTCAGCTATTTACTTGGTACACGTTCCCACTTTTCATGAACGCAACAAACATATTAAATTGGATTGTCATGTTGTGTGTGCGAAGCTTCCACCTAAGCTCATTCACTTGCTTCCTATTTCAACTCATATTCAACTGGCCGACATGCTAACTAAGCCTCTGCATTCTCCTGCCTCGAAGTCGAATTTGATCAGGTTGGGACTTTGTAGTATCCAAAGTCCAACTTAAGAGGGGGTTGTTAATATACCTTATTATATCAACAAATAGATTGCTCCATGTACAAATTCATTTACCTCTAATAGGTTGCCACGTAGAAATTTAGTTAAGCTATTGTTAGCTACACATTAGTTTATCTTATCTTGGACATATATAGCTTATTATATCTTATCCAATCATTCAATGAAAGTAACCATTTATGCATTACCGTTTTCTGTAATAAAAGTTTTCTGTTGAGCATTCTTCTTCCTTCTTTAATGTATCACCGAGGTGAATTGATCACCATTAACAATATGTCAAATGTTTAGTGCCACGAAAAACCGATAAACTAAAAGTAATGTTCAAATAACCAAAGGGAATAAACTTTACTTTATTATACAATTAAAATCTATCTTGTTTTTAATAAATAACCAAAGGAGAAACCACCAATACAACTACACACCAACGACTACGAACACAATACAACAAAACTCCTATTTTAAAAAATAAAATGGAGCTTTGTACCACTCATAAAAACTACAAATGGATTTAGTCTTTAAGTTAGCACCCAACCAATACCAAGAGGTATACCTCACTCTCATAGCGATATCTTCATTTTTTCAATACCATCGTTGAATATAATTTGATTCCGCGTCCACCATATAGACCAACATGTCGCTATCCAAATTATACAAACGGATGATTTAGAGGATTTTCTCACCGTCTTTACAAACCAGTCAAGAAAATGGTCTTGCACATTAGTTTCTTCCAACCACGGTATATCCACCCAATTTGCAATCTCCCATCAAACCAACACAATACTTGGACACAAACAAAAAATATGATTTATATCTTCATCTCCATTAAAACAAAAGACACAAACAATATTGTGAGGATTCAAGATTATGTCCCTGCCCGCCGATTTCATAACAAAGAACATTTTATTAAGCTCTTTCACCAAATAACTCAATAGACTCTAATAAATTAATAAATATTAAATCAAATCTAAAAAATTAATAAATATTAAATCAAATCTAAATATAGTTCTAATAAGCATAATAAACTTTACTTTAGAATAAACGAGTCAAATGATTTATCCTTACAAAAATAATTTTCTAAAGAATTAAAATTGTAATTTATTAAGATCAAAATTGTGGATGAATTATAACTTATAAGGCATAAACGATGAACCAAATAAACTCAAATAAGACTAACATAATGCGAGGATAATGAATCTCCACTATATAAGAAATTGATTAGTAGAAAACATCATTCATTTCTAGTCCTTTTTTTCATATGAAATATTATATTTCCCCCCGAGTCCAAACAAATAATTATAGATAATTCTTTCAACTTTTCCTTGCAAGATCTTGTGAATTGAATATCTAAAACTCCATATATGACAAAAACAAGACAGATAGAATATCATTCACAAAAATATGTTTAATTTCAAAGTATTGTTCCAAAGACACACTAAGTGAGATGACGGTTCACTAATTGACAAACATAAAGGTATACTGAAAATTCATCACGTTCTTATTTATAATTTGGTGCGTTATGCAACGTTTTTATCGCGTAATTCAAATCAAACCGTATCATACATGTTCTGTAGATGCATACGCTAGCGAGTCATCAACTGGTTTGTGTAGTAAAGATCAAGTACACTCGGGAAGAGGAGAACCACACAAACACTTATTATGAAAATATTCATAAATATCAAAACTCTGCAATTTTCCACCCACCGGAATCTGGCCGCACAACCTATTGTAACTCACATTCAGGTACTGCAGATTCAGTGCAGTCAACCCCTGAGGAAGCTTCCCAAACACCTTATTATGATTAAGATCCAACGACGTCAAGCTCGTGGAAAACTCCACCTTCGACAGATCGAACGACAGGTTGTTTCTCGATAGGTCCACAATTTGGAAAGACTTGTTCGCCCCGAAAATCACAGACGCGTCTCCTTCAAGCTTGTTTCGCGACAAGACTAGCGAGGTGGTAGAGGTGAGGTTCACAAACGAAGGTGGAATGGGACCAGTGAGGTTGTTATGGGAGAGGTCGATACCAGCTATGGACTTAAAAGAACCGAACGAGGAAGGGATCGAACCGGTTAGATGGTTACGGTCTAACTGGAGTGAGAAGAGTTTGGGAAGTTGTGAGAGTGAACCGGGGATTGAACCGGTGAGGTTGTTGAAGGAAAGATCCAAAAACGTGAGGTTTGGGAGTTGGGATAGAAAGGAAGGAATCGAGCCTGACAAGTTGGTGTTACTGATACGGAGGTTCTTGAGGTTGGTGAGTTTAGCAATGGCGGGCTGGAGCGGGCCCGTGAGGTTTGGAAGTTTGTGAAACTCGAGAGTCTCGAGGTATGGAAGAAGGCCCACAGAGGGAGGGATTTGGGCCGAGAAATTGGTGTATACGGGAGAATCAAAAATAGTGAGGGAGATGATGCGGTGCGTTTTGAGGTCGCACTCGATGGTGTACCAGTCGCAACAGTCTGTGTCTGGGTTCCATGATGCTAGAAGGTAAGGGTTGTTGAGGTCTTTCTTGATTTGGAGTAGCACTTTCTTATCTTGTGGGTTGCATAGCTCTGAGATTGCACTAGAGAGCAATATCAGAAGCAAGGTTAAGAGTAGCACTGTGGTTGTTGTCATTTTTTTATGAGATTACAGATTGAAAAATATTGTTAATTATATAGCTTCAGCTGATTAATTATATAGCTTCGGCTAATTATATAGCGGTGTCGGTTTACAAGTTGCCACACATTCATGCATTTGATAAGAATGAAAATTGAGATTAAAACATATACCTGTAATTCTATATGGATTCATTTATTATTAGGTAATGACGTGCATAATTTGGTCACGACCTCTAATCCAATAGCTATTGTGTCGGCTCTGGGAATGCAATTTTATCGAACTTGTATAAACTCTAAACGCTCAATGAAATTCTAGTCATAACCCATGCATTACTCGTTTAGAGTATCTTTAATGGAAATAAATTAAATAGATAAATTAAGATATTTTTTGTGGGCACAAAGTGCTTTGTAAGATTTAAAAAATTTATAATTGATTTGTGTAGTTTTTATTTTAACGATAATTGTCTATAAAAAAACTAAAATTTGACCCTACATTTTATATTTTTTATTTAAATTATCATTAATTTAATGTTGTTGGAATATTTTATTAATATTAAATAATATTATAATATATTTCATATCGAATAGTTAACGTTAACTATATAGATAATAAAAATTAAACTTTAATTTACTAAATGTCATGTCAATTCTACTCTAATACAAATTCTTTATTTACTAACATAAATTATATAAAATTTTCGTTTAACAAGTTAAAGTTGTTCTTAATAGCTATCTCTTACTAGTGGCATGTTGACTTTTAAAGAATAATGCGGTAATGTGTTTCTGTTAGCAATTTTATTATAGTATTGGATTTTTTTACACGAAGAAAAAGACTCACCAAGTTAGATATTGATGAGGAAACAGAGTGACGAAAATATTAACTATCACAAAAAAAAAAAGAAAACCGGGAACTCTTTAATTACCTAATAACTCGAAAGGAGATGGATAGAAGTACAATACAAACTTTATTTGATATTATTTTATCATGTAGAAAGTTTTACGGATATTAGAAAATACAAACAATAACAAATTAAGTTTACTGCAAAATTGATCTTGCACGGTTGGAGTCGTGTAATATGTAATTCTTTATTTCAAGTATTTAGGTGTAAGATGTAGAATTTAAAAGGGTCAAATTTAAATGTATTTGATAGAGTAGTAGTCAAATATAATTTGTAATAGTTGAATATGCATCTATTCCGCTAAAAATTAAATATAATTTGTAGTTATCAAAGTTGTGTATGTTTGAAAAAGTCAAATACCGTTAGTGAAAGGGAGCCATTTTAAAAACTACTTGATGATGAGTAAGTAATTTCATAATAAATAGGAAGGAGTTATTTTAAAAACTACTTGATGATGAGTAAGTAATTTCATTATAAATAGGAAGAGTCATTATACTTGTAAAATAATTCAATGTGAATTATTCAATCTATTCTTCTTCTTTTCTCACAAAACCTAAAACCTATTTTCTCTTCTTTCTTTCAAATTGCATCCTCTTTTTAAAATATTGTGCGAGAGAATCATCTTGCAATCAAGATGTGATTGAATCACTCGAGTGAAGAGTGGAGAACGAGAATCTTGTATCAATCAAGAAAACGATTGAATCTTGTTCTATCAAGATCGATTATAACATCTGGTATTTAGAGCACTATTATATTAGATTTTTCGACTTAACTATAAATGGCAAGTGTTCATGAGGCTAGGCATAAATATGCCACGTGGAAGATAAAAAATAAAACGAGTCAACATGGTCCACATGACTCAAGGTCGGAAATCACTCAAGGCGATGTTGGTAGAAGGTGGTATGGTCGAAGGACATAAAAAGCATGAGGACTTAGTGAAATTAGTACTATGTTACACTAGGCACGTAGTGAAACTGAATACTATGTCACACTGGCAAAGAGTTCATCACTACAATGGTCGGTACGTCGAGACGTGTTACCATAACATGGTCGACGTTGAAGGTTTCGTCGAGGGTCTCTAGTTCTTGGTGCTAGCAAAGTAGTTGAAATATGGGGCACGTCAGCGGAGAACTACTACATCAGACGGTTACTTAGAACATGGGGCACGTCGAGGAGAGAACCGCTACATGATCCAAGGATGTGTCATCATGGAGGTAGTTTAACAGTCTTGTATAGTTATTTTAGGCTTGTATATATAGCAACTTAGGTTTATTTTGTAAGGGGTCCACAAATTATACACATTTCCGCTAAATTTAAAGTACCTGCGCTATAAGAAACGAATGAGGAAAATGTACATATGTGTTCTGCCAATTTAATACATTCCAACATTTTTATCTTAAAAAGTCTTTCTTTTTATGCATTTAAACCTTGTTTATTTCGACTGCTTTTACATTTTCTTGCACTTTATTTCGACTACCTTTATCTTTTCAACAAACTTTATTTCTTCTGCATTTTAACTTCAAGCCATTTACTTTATATCACCTTGCATTTTATTTGCATTTTGCCTTGTCTTTCTGTTACGTTTATTTATTCTCGAGAAATCACAACGTCGTCCTAGAAGTTTGCGTCAACTTCGACGACCACCCTTATTTTTAACGAAAAACAACACACAAATATGTCCAGGAGATTTTCTAGTTTGACTCCTTAAGTATTAATATAAACTCACATTTGTTTGAGAAATTCTAATGCAAACAAATTGGCACACCCAGTGGGACCGTTTTGTGTGCTTGTCTTTTATTTTATTGTTTTGTTAAAAATATTTTAAGTTTTCTACCTCAGTTTCGTTAACTTTTCACTGTCCGCGTGCGTGAGTGCATGAGATTAAGGTGTGGTAACATAACCAAGAGGGAAATGAGGAAGCCTGTTGTTAGAAGATACGTTAGAAGAATGGTGAATCCTAGAAACAACAATGGAAACCAGCCTTCTAATAGTGTTGGATCGGGAACAGTTTTTACGACAGTTACTGAACCTATTCCTTCAACTGCAAGTACCACGGTGATGTCGTCAACAACAGTGACATCAACGACTCTGCCTGAGGGGACAATTGTTACACCAATACCCCAAAGTCACACAACGACTCCCAGGCCTTTCATGGCGATAGTTTTTAGGTCTTTCGCCATAATTTTCACAATGCCCATGCCAGGGCATGAACAACCGTTTGGAATGCCAACTACGATTATGGCAAGTTTGCAGAATAACCCTTCAACGTTCGGGGATAATGTTGCAAACATATTATGGGGTCGAGCTCAACCATAGGTAATCATGGTCGAAATGTGCCTTCCGGGATTTGGCTCGTAAGCAATGTCTGCCCTGACAATAAGTTCTGTCATGGCAATGAGGCAGGAGATGGATGATAGTAACCATGACATGATAAATACTCTAACATAACAGATGGGTATGATATTTAACACATTGATTCAACACACGAATCAGAGTTACTAACAATTGGCGACTCAAATGACAAGAATCGATGACTTTTTCGGCGCTCCCCTAGTCTAAATTTGACAAGGGGCGCAGCCCCAGGCTGCTGGGAAGGTTCAAAAGGAGGGAGTAGTCTTAGATGAAACCGTGAACCAGTGACAACAAGTGATTCCCCAACATGTCGAGCAAGAAGTGCCTGGCAAGGATGGTAATCCATCTGTCGTAATAGTTAATCGACACCAGGATGCCGAACAGTTTGTCCATCAGGTTCGACAGGGAAATATGTTGGGAGAAAATAACCTGAAAACCATTATCGAAAGGATAATGGCGCAAAACAGAGTTAATATGGGCTTGCAAAGGCCAAACTATACATCCCCTTTGTCAGAATATGTGTTGCAGACAGAGTTGACAAGGGGATGGAAAGTCCATAAGTTTACGAAATTTACTAGCGGCACTAATGAGTTAATTGTCGAACACATAGCTCGTTACTTAATGGAAGTAGGTGACATTGCAAATAATGAGAATTTTAGAATGAGATACTTCCTTAGTTATCTTACAAAGAATGTGCTCACATGGTTTACTACCTTATCTCCTCATTCGATCCATAACTGGACGCACTTATAGAGATTGTTCCATGAACAGTTATATATAGAGCAATCTAAGATTAGTTTGAAGGAGTTGTCGAGTGTCAAGCAAAAGTTCGCTGAATCAATTGATGATTACTTAAACAGATTCAGGTTGTTAAAAATAAGGTGTTTTACCTAGATGCCTGAATATGAGCTTGTCGAAATGGCTGCTGGTGGACTAGAACATTCCATTAGGAAGAAGCTAGATACTCAATACCTGAGAGATATGGCCCAATTAGCAGATAGAGTTAGACAAGTCGAGAGACTGAAGGCCGAGAAGGCCAAAACTAGTAAGGGTAAAAATTAGCATATATTTTATGTCGATATGCAAGACCACGACATAGCGTATGAGGTTGAATATGAGCATGTTGAAGAGTCTGAGGTTGACATGGCTAAGCTAAAGCCAGGTCCTCCATATGTGCATAAGTTACATACACCTACAAATGAGAAGAATCCTCCAGAACCTAAAGAAAACGATAATTTTCCTAAGAAAACTTACACCTTCGACAAAACGAAATGCGAAGAGATTTTCAATTTGTTGATTGCATATGGTCAAGTACTTGTGCCTCTAGGCGCAAAAGTACCACCATAGGAACAAAGAAAAAAACAAGGGTTTTGTAAATATCACAATTTCTTAGGACATACAACCTCACAATGTTTTATTTTCAGGGATCTTGTGTAGACTACAAGGGGAAGAATCCCATGACTAGAACCCAATGGGCCTAGTGCAAAGTAAAAGGGGAAGAACACCATGACTGGAACCCAATGAAGTAGATTCTAGAGAAAAAAGAAGGCAGAAAGGGATGCTACCGGGTCGAGAAATACCAGTCCTCGACAGAAGCCTAAAGATGAGCAGGCAAAGAAACCGGTCGGGAGAAAGTTGTTTCCCTCCCAGAAGATTGAAAGAGAGGAGAAAGCTAAAGAGGATGAGTTGGTAACAGATAATTTTGACTCCGGGTCAGAAGGCAACTTTGGTGTCCTATGTAATGTTGTCTTCGTACTTCCTTATG